GAATAAACAAAAAATCATCAATAATATAGAATGCTACAATAAATTAAGGAGGTTTCATTATTTTTATTGACTACTCTCTATGTACCACAATGAAAACTGAGAAGTTATTTTTTATTTGGCAAGAAGAAAGCAACTGCTTATCTAAGACAATGCAATGCCACCTTCTCATTAGTGGAAGAGGTTAAATGATGTTTTCCTACTTGCTAAATGTACTGAATGGTATCCAATACAAATAGGGGGATGAAAGAATTTCAAATAACGTGGCAAAGACATCATAAGAAGTGTTGCATATGAAAAGGCATTGTTGTACAGACATCTGAAATTTATACTTGATATAAATAATAAGAAAACTGACATTAATTGGACAAAATTAAGAGGTAAAAAAGCTACAAAAAAGAGAGAGCCTAGGCAATGAAATTATGAATAAACTAGATGTATATATAACCATAGAAGAAGAAAAATTTGTTATTTCAGGAAATCTTAATATTATTTTGGTGACTTTTGACTTTTTGCCTGACAGATGTGTTTCTTAAGAATACAAGTAACTTTAGGAAAAAAACTTGAGCTTCTTCAATTTTGTTGGCTTTACAGAGACACTCATATAGTAATCATTCACAGTTTGATTTTAATATCAGTGATGTAAAAAGAGCAATTATTAATAGTTCAGGTTGATCATCAAAGAAACTGCTGTTAATCTTGTAGCTCAACATTTCAAAAATCTTTCCAGGAAACAGCTCATATAAAAGACAACCACCCAATATAAAAATACTCTTCATTAGACAAATCACCTCTTTTGAGCAGCAAGATATCACATTGAAAGAAACCAAAAAGTTACTTTAATTTTCCAACATGTCTAACTTATTCTCTGGAAAAAAGCTATGCAACATGAAACTAAAGCTTCTAGATGAAGGAGATCAAACAGTAAAACTGCCAAGGTCTTTGCAAACAAATGCACAGTTAATTACAGATTTTGTTTCTGTTTGGACACACACAAAGCTGTGTCTGGAACAAACCAACAAGTGGATGTGAAATTAGCCATTCTGAATAAGTGAACCATTGATGGTAAATGTGTAAAATGATAAAACTGCAACTAAACTTGAGGCTTAGGTTTGGAGAGAAACTCTAGGATTATTTTCCCTGTCTGGTTTCTATGATACCATGAGTAGAATTCAGAGGAACTTTTTCATGTACGTTTATAAAAACAAAAATGAATGACCACAGTATAAATGTATGGTATATGAAGCATCGCATAGAGACAGAAGTGCATAGGATAAACCCTAAACTGAGCAAGCCTGTGTTCAAACCATGAGATGAGTGACAGATTTTATTTCCTGGATGCAGAGAGAATCCAGCTGTAGGGGAATCTCCCATCCCAATGCCCTCACACAAACGCGCATACAGAGCTTAGATGAATAACAACACAGAGACTCAGTGGGACAGACAAGAAGCACCAGCATCTAAAAATGCAAATGAATGACCCTTGGGTTTCTGAATGGAACCTGCCTTTTTCTGTTTAAAAAATGCTGTTCACCCTGTTTTAATGGCATGGAATAAAAATGGCACGGTAACTTGTAATTTTGAGATATTAAATATGAAATATAAAACAAGGGGTTATAAATCAGCCGAAGACTAATTAAGATACTTAGACTGTCATTCAAAAACATTCCACAGAATGTAATAAAATGAGTGGGTGGTTGGTTCTATTTTAATAACTGAACCCTGTAGGAAGATTTTATTTCTTTAAACTATCAGCCAAATATATCCAGGACTGACTAGAACATCGAAAATATACTTTTACATTATGTTAAGCTAAAAAAAAGAAACAAAATGCCTCAGAAGACTACATCTGAACAGTGTTCTGATTCCCAGCTACTCGGGAGACTGAGGCAGGAGAATCGCTTGAACCCAGGAGGTGGAGGTTGCAGTGAGCCGAGATTGCTCCATTGCACTCCAGCCTGGGCAACAAGAGGGAAACTCCAGCTCAAAAAAAAAAAAAAAAAAGTATTCCTGTAGTTAATAATGAAATTATGTTTAACTGTTTTTCCACCATTTTATGATAAATATGAAATCAACCAACGTTTCTCAATGAGGGAGCACTGGCATTTGTAGTAGGAAATTACACATTGTGCAGGACTATTCTGTGGAACTAAAATTAGCCCTTAGACATTTCCAAATGCCTCTTGTGGGTAGAATGGGGCTTGGTGGTGGTGATGATATTAATCACTTATTGAAAGCAATTGATTTTGACTGGTCCAAAATTTGTGTCCTTTAATTGGAGAAACATAGTTATTTGCATCTTGGAAAAATTGACCCTTATCTAGAAACCAAATGAAACCTGGTGTCTTAGTCCTCTTTTGTTGCTTATAACAGAATACCTGAAATTGGGTAATTCATTTTTTCAAAAGGAGTTTATTTCTTACAGTTGTAGAGGCTGAGAAGTCTAAGGGTGAAGGGCCACATCTGGTGAGGGCCTTATTGCTGGTGGGAACTCTCTGCAGAGTTGTAAGGCAGCACAGGGAATCACGTGGTGAGGGGCCTGAGTGTGTAAGCTCAGGTCTCTCTTCCTCACCTTATAAAGCCAGCAGTCTCACTCTTGTGATAACTCATTAACCCACTGATCCACTAATAGGTTAACCCATTCCTGAGGGCAGAGCCCTCACGACTCTATCATTTCTTAAAGAGATCTCTATCATCTTATCACCTCTCAATACTGCCACATTGGAAATTAAGCTTCAACATGAGGGAACAAACATTCAAACCATAGCATTCTGCCCATGCCCTCCCCCCAGATAAACTCCTGTTCTTCTCACAAACAAATGTATTCATTCCCCGCCCGCCCCCCCACCCACCCCATAGCTCCAAAGTCTTCACTGGTTCCAGGATCATCTCAAAAGTCCAAAGTCTCATCTGTGAAATCAAAATAAGTTATCTACTTCCAAGATACAATCGCAGGACAGGTATAGAGTGGACATTCCCATTTGAAAAGGAAGAAGACTGGGTGTGGTGGCTCAAGCTTGTAATCCCGGCATACTGGAAGGCCAAGGCAAAAGGATAGCCTGAGCCCAAGAGTTTGAGATCAGCCTGGATAAACACTGTGAAAGAAAAGAAAACAAAAGAAGAAAGAAACAAAGAAGAGAAAAGAAAGAGAGAAGAAAAAAGAAAAGAGAGAGAGAAAGAGAGAAGGAGAAAGGGAAAGGGAAGGAAAAGAAAAGAAGGAAAAGAAGGAAGGAAGGAGAGAAAGAAAAGAAAAGAAAAGAAAAGAATAGAAAAGAAAAGAAAAGAAAAGAAAAGAAAAGCAGGGAGGCAGGCAGGCAAGCAAGCAAGCAAGCAAGCAAGCAAGCAAGCAAAGGAGGGAATAGCCCAAAAGACAGTGGTAACAGGCCCCAGGTTAGTCTGAAGCCCAAGAGGGTAAACATCAAATCATAAAGCTGGAGAATAATCTCCCTTGACTCCACATCCAGCATCCTGTGTATACTAGTATGGAAGTTGGGGCCCCAGAGCCTTGGGCAGCTCTGTCCCCACCGCTTTCCTGGGTTCAGCCCATGCTTTAGCTTTCCCATGCTGGCACTGCACACAGGTAGGTCTGTAGTTCTGGGGTCTTGGTGTTGGCCCTGCTCCCACATCTCCACTAGGCAATGCCCTGATGGGAACTGTATGGCAAGTTGGAACCCATATTTCTGCTTGGCATTGCCCTAGAAGGGGCTCTCTGCAGTGGCTCCACCCCTGCAACAAGTCTTCTGCCTGAGTCCACAAGCTATATGACACATTCTTTGAAATCTAGGTGAAAGCTGCCACGCCTCCATATCTCTTGCATTCTGTGGGCCTGCACAATTAACATCATATGTATGCCTCCAAGGTTTTTACAGCTTGTACCTTTCAGAGTGGCAGGCTGAGTCACACCTGGTACCACTTGAATCACAGCTGGGGTGGTCAAGGAGTGTTGAGGCTAGAATTCAGGGAGCAGAGACCTGCCGGGACCCTGGGCAGGAAGCCCATGGAGGGTGTCCCGGGTTTGTCTGGCAAAACTATTTTGCCTTCCTAGGCCTCTGGGCCCATGATGGGAGACGCAGCTTCGAAGATGTCTAAAATGTCTTCAGGGTCTTTCTTCTAGTCTCTTAGTCATCCCTTCTCTCTGTACTGATCTCCTCAGTAAAGGTCACTGAAAAAAAAAGCATGTTCTCCTGAACATGTTTTTTCACTCTTTACAAGGCCAGGATAAGAGTTTTCCAAATCCTTCTGCTTTGCTTCTTTTTTGATTATAAATTCCATTTTAAGTCATTTTTTCCCTCTCACAGCTTAATGTAAGTGGTTAAAGGTAGCCATGCAGCAGCCTGATGTTTTACTGCTTCAGCATTTCTTCTGCCAGATATCTTAATCCATGGATCTTTTTTGCTCTTTAGTTTTTCATTTTAATTTTTAAAATTTTTAAATTTTGTGGGTATATAGTAGGTGTATCAGGTTCTACATTCTATAATGTCCTTAGGCATGGACACAATGCAGCCAAGTTCTTTGTCAGTTTATAACAAGAAGGGCCATTACACGTTTCCAATACCTTGTTTCTCAGTTCCATCTGAAACTTCATTGTAATGGCCTTTAGTGTCCATTTTTCTTTCTTTTCTTTTCTTTTTTCTTCTCTTGAGATGGAGTTCTGCTCTTGTTACCCAGGCTGGAGTACAATGGCACGATCTTGGCTCACCACAACCTCCACCTCCCAGGTTCAACTAATTCTCCTCCCTCAGCCTCCCAAGTAGCTGGGATTACAGGCATTAGTCACCACATCTGGCTAATTTTGTATTTTTAGTAGAGACAGGTTTTCTTCATGTCGGTCAGGCTGGTCTCAAACTCTTGACCTCAGGTGATCCGCCTGCCTCGGCCTCCCAAAGTGCTGGGATTACAGGCATGAGCCCTCGCGCCTGGCCCTAGTGTCCATATTTCTACCAGAATTCTGGTCATGACCACTTACCCAATCTCTAAGAAAATCCAAACTTACCCTAGTCTTCTTTTCTTCCAAGCCTTCACCAGAATCTAGGCTTTGTCTAGCCTGCTCCTCAAAATTCTTCCAAGCCTCTGCTCATTACTCAGTTCCAAAGCTGCTTTCACATTTTCAGGAATTTGATATCAGCAACACCCCTTTCTCAGTACCTTTTTCTGTCTTAGTCCATTTTCTGTTGCTTATAACAGAATACCTGAAACTGAATAATTTATAAAGAAAAGAAATTTATTTCTTACAGTTATGGAGGCTGAGAAGTCCAAGGTTTAGGGCCCGTATCTGGTGAGGGCCTTCTTGCTGGTGGGAACTCTTTACAGAGTCCCAAAGTGGCTCATGGCATGACATGGCAAAAGAGTCTGAGTGTACTAGATCAGGTCTCTCTTCCTCTCCTTATAAAGCCATGAGTCCCACTCCTGTGACAAACTGTTAATCCACTGGCCCATTAATCCATTGATCCATGAATAGAATTAGCCATTCACCTCTTAAAGGCCTCACTTCTCAAAACTGCCACCCTGGGGGTTAAGTTTCAATATGAATTTTTGAAATGGACAAACATTCAAACTACAGGAACTGGAAATTACGGTTAACATTTCAAATTGTTGGATGCTAGACAATAATACATAATAAAAACTTGCAAGGAATAGTTATGCAATATTTATTTTGCAATATGCTGAACTATTAAATCATAAATTGTTTTACAATTGAATTGTTCTTTTAATTTTTAGACCTGAACTCTGAAGTAAAGGCTTATTTCCCTTGAGTCTAGCCAATACTTAATGATGCATCCTGAGGTTTCTTGATTGTCCAGGTAGAAGGGATTTTAAGAGTTTGACTGATATAAGTACCCAAAATAGCCACTGGTACTCTACCTCCAGGTACAGGAAAAACTGAGGCAGCTAGGGTTTGGAGCAGACCCCTAGCAAACCACAATAGTCCTACAGGACAGTGGCTTGACTGTTAAAAGAAAAACAAACAAAGAACAACAATGACAACAACATCAACAGAAAAGACCCCACAAAAACCCCATTCAAAGATCAGCAACCTCAAAGATCAAAGGTAAAGATGCCCACAATGATAAGAAAGAATCAATGCAAAAACGCTGAAAACTCAAAAAGCCAGACTGCCTTTTCTCCTCCAAATGACCGCAACACCTCTCCAGCAAAGGCAAAGAACTGGGCTGAGGCTGAGATGGTTGAATTAACAGAAGTAGACTTCAGAAAGTGGGTAATAACAACAAACTTCACTGAGCTAAAGCAGCATGTAGTAACCCAATGCAAAGAAGCTAAAAGTCATTAAAAAAAAAAAATAACAGGAGCTGAATTAGCCAGAATATCTAGTTAGAGAGCAAGCATAAACCAGTCCTGACTGAGCTGAAAAAAAAAGCAACAGCTGAGAACTTCACAATGCAATCATAAGTATCAAGAGCAGAATAGACCAAGCAGAGGAAAGAATGTCGAGCTTGAAGATGATCTTTCTGAAATAAGACAGGCAGACAAGAATAGAGAAAAATGAATGAAAAAGAATAAACAAAATCTCCAAGAAATATGGGATTATGTAAGGAGACTGAATCTATGACTGATTTGGGTATCTAAAAGAGATAGGGAGAATGGAACCAAGTTGGAAAATATATTTCAGGATATCATCCAGGAGAACTTGCCCAACCTAGAAAGACAGGTCAACATTCAAATTCAGGAAATGTAGAGAACCCCAGTAGGATAATGCATGAGAGGATCAACCCCAAGACACATAATCATTAGATTTTCAAAGGCTGAAATGAAAGAAAAAGTGTTAAGGGCAGTCAGAAAGGCCAGGTCACCTACAAAGGGAAGCCCATCAGACTAACTTAAGTGGACCTGTCAGCAGAAACCCTACAAGCCAGAAAAGCTTGAGGGCCAATATCCAAAATTCTTAAAGAAAAAATTTTAAACCCAGAATGTCATATCTGGCCAAATTAAACTGCATAAGCAAAGGAGAAATAAGATCCTTTTCAGACAAGCAAATGCTGAGGGAATTCATCACCACCAGGCCTGCCTTGCAATAGCTTCTGAGGGAAGCACTAAATATGAAGAGGAAAAACTGTTACTAGCCACTACAAAAACACACTGAAGTACACAGATCAGTGGCACTATGAAGCAACCACATAAACAGGTCTGCAAAACAACCAGCTAGCATCATGATGACAGGATCAAATTCATACATAACAATACTAACCTTAAACTTAAATGGGCTAAATACCCCAATTAAAAGACACAGAATGGCAAGCTAGATAAAGAGCCAAGACCCATCAGTATGCTGTATTCAAGAGCCCCATCTCAAGGCCAAAGACACACATAGGCTCAAAATAAAGGGATGGAGGAAAATGTTCCAAGCAAATGGAACACAGAAAAAAGCAGGTGTTACAATCCTAGTTCCTGACAAAACAGACTTTAAACCAACAAAGATCATAAAAGACAAAGAAGGGCATTACATAATGGTAATGTTAAAGCATTTGATTCAACACGAAGAGATAACTATCCTAAATATATATGCACCCAATACAGGAGAACCCAGATTCATAAAGCAAGTTCTTAAGAGACCCACAAAGAGACTCAGACTCCCACATAATAATAGTGAGAGACTCTGACACCCCACTGACAATATTAGACAGATCATCAAGACAGAAATTAACAAAGACATTCAGGACTTGAACTCAGCTCTGGATCAAGCGTTCCTAATAGATATCTACAAAACTCTCCACTCCAAAACAATGGAATCTACACTCTTCTCATGACCACATGGCACTTACTCTAAAATTGATCACATAATCAGAAATAAAAACACTCCACAGCAAATACAAAATAACTGATATCATGCCAGTTTCTCAGACCACAGCACAATCAAATTAGAACTCAAGATTAAGAAATTCACTCAAAATCACACAACTACATGGAAATTGAACAACCTGCTTGTGAATGACTGTTAGTTAAATAATGAAATTAAGGCAGAAATCAAGAAGTTATTTGGAACTAATGAGAACAAAGAGACAACACACCAGAATCTCTGGGACGCAGCTAAAGCAATGTTAAGAGGAAATTTATAGCACTAAATGCCCACATCAAAAAGCTAGAAAGTTCTCAAGTTAACAACCTAAAAGAACTAAATCACAACTAAAAGAACTAGAGAACCAAGAGCAAATAAAACCCAAAGCTAGCAGAAGACAAGAAATAACCAAGATCAGAGCTGAACTGAAGGAGATAGAGACATTAAAAACTCTTCAAAAACATAATGAATCCAGGAGCCGATTTTTTGAAAAAAATTAATAAAATGGATAGATGGTTAGACCAGATTAATAAAGAAGAATAGAGAGACAAATCAAATAAACACAATCAGAAATGATAACAGGGATATCACCACTGACCCCACAGAAACATAAACAACCATCAGAGAAGACCATAAACACTTCTATGCACCTCAACTAGAAAATCTAGAGGAAATGGATAAATTCCTGGATGTATACACCCTCCCAAGATGGAACCAGGAAGAAATAGAATCCCTGAATAGACCAATAACAATTCTGAACTTGAGGCAGTAAAAAAAAAAAAAGAAAGAAAGAAAAAAAAAGGCCCAGGACCAGGATTCACAGCTAAACTCTACCAGAGGTACAAAGAAGAGCTGGTACTATTTCTACTGAAACTATTCCAAAAAACTGAAAAGGAGGGACTCCTCCCTAACTCATTCTATGAGGCCAGCATCATCCTGATATCAAAACCTGGCAAGAGACACAACAAAAACAAAAAAAACTTCAAGCCAATATTCTAGATGAACATCGATGCAAAGATCCTCAATTAAATACTGACAAATGCAACCCAGCAGCACATCAAAAAGCTTATCCACCACAATCAAGTTGGCTTCATCTGCAGGATGCAAGGTCGGTTCAGCATACACAAACCGATAAATGTGATTCATCACATAAACAAAACTAAAGACAAAAACCACACAATTATCTCAATAGACGCAGAAAAGGCCTTGGATAAAATTCAAGATCCCTTCATGTTAAAAACTCTCAATAAACTAGATATTGAAGGAACATACCTCAAAATAATAAGAGCCATAAATGACAAATCCACAGCCAATATCATAGTGAATGGGCAAAAGCTGGAAGCATTCCCCTTGAAAACCAACACAAGACAAGTAAGGCATCTCTCACTACTCCTGTTCAACACAGTATTGGAAGTTATGGCCAGGACAATCAGACAAAAGAATGAAATAAAGGTATTTGAATAGGAAGAGAGGAAGTCAAATTATCTTTGTTTGCAGATGACAAGATCCTATATCTAGAAAATCCCATCGTCTCAGCCCAAAAGCTTCTCAAGCCAATAAGCAACTTCAGCAAAGCCTCAAGATAAAAAAAATCAATGTGCAAAAATCACTAGCATTCCTATAGAGCAACAGCAGGTAAGCAGAGAGCCAAATTATGAATGAACTCTCATTCACAATTGCTACAAAAAGAATAAAATACCTAGGAATACAGATAACAAGGGAAGTGAGAACTCTTCAAGAAGAAATACAAACTACTGCTCAAAGAAATCAGAGGACACAAACAAATGGAAAAACATTCCATGCTCATGGATAGGAAGAATCTGTATCATTAAAATGGCCATATTGCCCAAAGTAGTCTCTAGATTCAATCCTATTCCCTTTAAACTACCATTGACATTCTTCATAGAATTAGAAAAAACTATTTTAAATTTCATATGGACTGAAAAAAGCCCAAATAGCCAAGACAGTCCTAAGTAAAATGAACAAAGCTGGAGGCATCACACTACCCATCTTCAAACTATACCTCAAGTAACCAAAACAGCATGGTACTGGTACAAGAACAGACACATAGACCAGTGGAACAGAATAGAGAACTCGGAAATAAGACTGCAAACCTACAACCATCTGATCTTTAACATACCTGACAAAAACAAGCAATGGGGAAAGAATTCCCTATTTAATAAATGGTGCTAGGAGAACTGGCTAGCCATATGCAGAATATTAAAACTGGACCCCTTCCTTATACCATATATAAAAATTAACTCAAGATGGATTAAAGACTTAAATGTAAAGCCAAAATTATAAAATCCCTAGAAGAAAATCTAGGAAATACAATTCAGGACACAGGTACGGGCAGAGATTTCATGGTGAAAACACCAAAAGCAATTGGAACACAAGCAAAAATTGACAAATGGGATCTAATTAAACTAAAGAGCTTCTGTACAGCAAAAGAAACTATCATCAGAGTGAACACACAACCTACAGAATAGGAGAAAAATTTTTGCAATCTATCTATCTGACAAAGGCCTAATATCCAGGTTACAAGGAACTCAAGCAAATTTAGAAGAAACAAAAAAATCCATTAAAAAGCGGGCAAAGAATGTGAAAAGATATCTCTCAAAAGAAGACATCCATGTGGCCAACCAACATATGAAAAAAAACTCAACGTCACTGATCATTAGAGAAATGCAAATCAAATCCATAATGAGGTACCATCTCACACCATTCAGAATGGCCATTAAAAAGTTAGAGAACAATAGATGTTGGTGAGGTTGCAGAGAAAAAAGAATGCTTTTACACTGTTGGGAGTGTAAATTAGTTAAACCGTTGTGGAAGACAGTATGGCAATTCCTTGATGGAAATACTATTTTTCCATCAAAAAGCAGAAATACCATTTAGAAGCAGAAATACCATTTAACCCAGCAATCCCTTTACTGGCTATATACTCAAGGGAATATAAATTATTCTATTATAAAGACACATGCATACATATGTTCATTGCAGCACTATTCACAATAGCAAAGACATGAAATCAACCTAAATGCCTGTCAATTATAGACTGAATAAAGAAAATGTGATAAATATACACCATGGAATACTATGCAGCCATGAAAATGAATGAGATTATGTCCTTTGCAGGGACATGGATGGAGATGGAAGCCATTATCCTCAGCAAACTAACGCAGGAACAGAAAACCGAACACCACATCATGTTCTCACTTATAAGTGGGAGCTGAAGGATGAGAACACATGGACACATGGTGGGGAAAAACACACATTGGGGCCTGTCGGAGTGGGAGGTGTGAGGAGGAAGAGCATCAGGAAGAACAGTTAATGGATACCAGGTTTAATATCTAGGTGATGGATGATCTGCACAGCAAACCACCATGGCACATGTTTACCTCTGTAACAAACCTGTACATCCTGCACATGTACCCCTGAACTTAAAATAAAAGTTGAAGAAAAAAAAAAAGCCATTTTAACACCAAAAATGCAAAGCTGTTCATCTGGCTGAAAATTTCATCATGGACTGGCAGAGTGAGGGACCTGCAGTATATTACTTGATTTTTCTATTAATTCCTTATTTCTAATCACCATTGCAGTCAACATGGTAGTGACTACTAGGGTTTATTACCCTTCCTTTTAGAATGCTACTCAAATGTAACTATAAATATCCTTATCAAACTGTAAAAATTAAATATCTTACCCCTGAAGTAGGCAAGGACTAGGTACATAAATCCTCACCTCTCATCAACAGGCCAATTAGTTGACTGCTGTGCAAGTTTCAAGCTTGGGGACCCATCTTATCACTTAACAGAATTATTATTGTCTTTTAAGTAGTCATCCCCTGCTTTTCCCTAGCACTTCTAGCTTGTGATGCTGTAGCTCTGGGGAACACAGAGAACAAACTGGAGCAAGAAAATTGCTGTTTTTTTGGTAAGATACTGCATCATATTCCCAAGCACACAACCTGGAATCCATACCTACTCAATTCCAGGGACTTTGGTGACAAGTCACCACAGCCATCAACTACCTTATCAATTCTGCAATTATGGGGGACCCAGCCTTGAGTTAACATCTTTTCTTAGATAACAGGAAACATTACTTAGGAGTAATTTCACTTATCTAAGAGAAATGTAGAAAGTCCCTGAAAGTCAAGGAACAAACATACAAAACTAGATATCTTTTTTTCACTGTAGGATTTTTACTTTTTTTCTTTCTCATGAATTTTAACAAAATTTATTCATTTGTTTTTGGTGTCCAAAAGGCACAGGAATAAGAAACAAAGAAAAACGGTTTGGTGTTCTACCCACCAAATTAAGCATCACATTTTCCAAGATTGATCATAATTCTGATTATAGCAAAAATGCCCTGTTATTTCCTAGCATGGTCATATTTACATGAAAATATGCCTGACTTTGATTTTTAGTTGTCCTCTCTCACCCTAGGATTCTCACTCGGCTCCCGTACGTCTGCAGACAGCAATGCACCACACTGGTTGCATTGATCTCTCCCTAAGCTGCCACCTGCCATCGCCTCCCACCTTTGATCCTTTGCCATCATCAGTGTCTTCAAACAGCACTGCTGTGTTCTGCCTGCAAAAACAAGCATACTCCTCAGTGGAAAAATACCACATTCCAGCTTGGTGAAGCAGGTGGTGTGTTTCATAGGATGGAGCAGAAAGTAGCATCTCTTCTCAAACAAGAAGGAAGACTATTAGCACATCAGCACAGAAAGTCGTGCATGATGAATTTTAAGTGCTGCTTCACAAATGAAAATGTGGTAAAGTTTGAAAAATCAGCTTTGAAAATGTATTAAGTCCATTATTCAAACCCAAAGTCTTAACTTTTTAAAAAAAACCATTTTCCCATCTTTCAAATAAGGAGGATGGAGTAGATGATGTTCAAGATGCTCAAACTTCTTTTTGCTCCGTGAGATCTAAAACCTGATCTTGGCATCACATAATGACCATCACAGTCAACACTGCTCACAACATATACAATGGGATGCCTGGTATGTTTTACAGCTATTATCTGGACTAAATATCCCATTTCATTTCTAGCCTAGGTAGGCAGAAGATGAAAAGGTTTGTGTTTTTTTCTTTGTGTGGACAATTGGAATTAATGTAATTAAATTACTCAGGGTCTGGGAAATGAAGAAGCAACAAACATACTTGAACGTCAGAGTTTCTGCTACAGGCTCAGAAGAACTCAGTTCTTATTTAATTTCTATTCTTGGAAGAAGGTTCTTTTTTTCCATGAAGGCTCACTCCTCTGAAGCTAAATAGGACCAAATGGAGCTTCAATAACATGGAGACAAAATCCTACAACCAAGAGTGGGAGCTGTCCCATGCCACAGACACAGCCTTGCAAATGCAGGGAATTCTGCCTGATTCTGACTAGGACTGGCAAAGAAAAAGAGAGCAGCATCCTCATGACAAAGGCCTCAGCCATTGGGTCACTTCTAACTGTGACAACTGCAATACAGGGCCATACGTCCTCCAGCTGATACCATGTACACACAAAGAAATTACTTTTCATTTTTGCATGGTTTTCCCACACACTGCTAAAATGACCAAAGCAGATACTCTACAGTTTTGCTACATATGCAGGAGCAACCTTGCAAACTAGTGTGGTTTCATTTTTGAGATCAAAGGAAGCCGACATTAGACTGTCAGCTCAGCTGGGTATGATTCCATAGGGAACACGAGCACTATAATTCCATTGTAATAACGTCTTCCTTTATTTACAAGGATGGCAATAGAAGGAATGACTCAATATAGACAATTCCGAGCCCTGAAACATCATGCACATCAATGACAAGCTATGGAAGCCTGTTCCTTACTGGTCTCTTGCTTGCCCAGAGGGTAGGAGATAACCCTTCTTCTAGGTGACACATCCAGGAGGGTCCAGCGGCTGCTACATGTCACTGCTGAGTAGAGTCTGCCATTGTGTGATGAATTAGGCAGAAAGTCCTCAGCCAATGCTAATGGCTAAGAAGCCATTTCATCAGATTCTTACCCAGTGAAAAGGTGTTTTTTTAAAATAATGAGAAAAAAAGCTTACTGAATTCTCTAGAGCATAGGCCTTGGGACAGCATACCACAACTGTTACTTCTAAGTGGGTATCCAATAAACATTTCTAATTGACCAAAAAAAAAAAAGTTAATAGTGAACCAATATTTACAGGAAAAAAAGTGTTCAATACATGCACTCGTTTAGCTTAAGAAAGTGTCAGCTCTGCTTAATCTATTTCTTTTGTTGGCATTAAAAAAAGTATAAAAACGTAAATGTGTATGTATATTTATATTCATATTTTTATATGTATATGTAGTACACTATTATCTGATCCATTGAGAGAATATGACCTGTCTTTTTACATCTGTTACTGCAGTTACAAAAGTATTAACAATTTAATAAGTAATATCATAAACTAACACTTGTTAAACATAGGTTAAATATTTTCAAAACCACAAAATGGGCTTTTACCTTGTTTTAATCTTAGCAGATTGTTAAGCATCTTTCTAGTTTTGAAGGAGGCAGTGAAATCCCAAACATTCTTGGTTTTCTCTATTCAGCCTGATCTTATCTAATCTAAAGGAGAAACAGGTTATTCCACCAGCTTTGGACAAACAGTGTGGGGAGAAAGGAAACTCTTTGGCTGCAAGGCTAGTTCCTGTGTGGCAGAGGTATATGAGGTGTCTGGCCTGTCCACATGTGGGATAAGTCAAAAGACCTCCTTAAGATCAAGGAGCAGCAGAACTCCACAATTCCTCCCTCCTAACTACCAGTTTAATTTACTAAACTATTTTATCTCTAATGTGGAAACACACTTTCCAAGAACTCTCTTGTTCTCTGAAATTATATTCCTCCCAAAATTACCTGCAACTGAAGGTAGATTGTTTTTTCAGTTGTAGATCTTATTATACTTTGTTTAAATTGCCTACAAAGAAAGGGACAGTTAATTAATTGAATGTGAAGATGAATTTGACGCTTAACACATTGGTGGTGAATCACAAAGTGCATCTCTTTTTAGGTTTGTAGCAACATCAACTCCAAATGTTAATTTTCAAGTTTTAACATTATTTGTGGATATGTGGAAAATATGACTACACCGTTTGTTAGAAATGAGTCAAAAGAGAAACTTGTTAGTCCTGAAAAATAAACATGCGGAGAACACAACTCTTAAATATAGCTTTAATGGGAGGTGATGCATTCTATTATGGTTAAGAAGCACAACAGAGGCTAAATGCTATGCTCCCCATGGTCCCTCCTTACAAATGTGGTGCAGCTGTCTGGCACTTTCAATGCGATCATTTGATACAATCATTAACGCTAGCTACCTGCTTAGTATTTGCAAAATTACATTGCATGTGCAAAGAATTGAGGTGATATTTTGAAAACCACATAGTTAATGTATTTATCAAATGTGGTTAGAAAGAACAGTTCCTCCAAAAACAATTCACAATTACCAGTGTTCAAGATAGTTTGTTTTATTCAGTAGCCTTTGACGAATCTGGTAAAGTCTGATCACATCCAAGTGTCATTAAAGATTAGGGTTATCCTGGAATAATCAATCCCAAAGAACAAAAATACATGTTTCTACAAAGATTTGATAAAATCTCGCATCCAGCTGGGTGTACTGGCTCACATCTGTAATCCCAGCACTTTGGGAAGCCAAGGTGGGCAGATCACTTGAGGTCAGGAGTTCTAGACCAGCTTGGTCAACATGGTGAAACCCTGTCTCTATTAAAAACACAGAAGTTAGCCAGGCGTGGTGGCATACACCTGCAGTCCCAGCTACTCGGGAGGGTGAGGTAGGAGAATCGCTTGAACCTGGGAAGTGGAGGTTGAAGTAAGCTGAGATCGTGCCACTGCACTCTAGCCTGGCGACAAAAATGAGCGAGACTTCATTTCAAAAACAAAACAAAACAAAACAAAACCCTCACATCCTGTAGACAAAAGCCACATTTCACTTAAAAAAAATATGTGATAGCAAATTGGATGCAAAAATAGCAGATGACCTTATAAGATGTTATTCTTAGAAAAGGGCAGCAACATTAGGCAATCTATTATGAGATGAATACTATTTTTGTGGTTAAGAAAGCAGAGTTCATGAGCTTCCTTGAAGAAGTGTTTGCCAAATCCAGCTAAAACAAACCCTTAGCAGGAGAGAGCAAAAAAATCTTTTCATAATTTAGAAATTAAGCTGTACAAGCAAAGCTTGCCTTGAGAAATGCCAATGTATGAAAATCAAGATGTAGAGAGGTAGTTATATATATTAAAACAAGACGCAATAAAATAGCAAGCACTTCTAGTACATTTATTTACAACATGACTATGGTTTGACTAACTTGGTCCACATACCATTCTTTATATATATACTTATTGTTTATTTGATTTTTGCTCAAAGTATGCAGGTCTTTGTTAAAGGGATCTTAAATTCCAGATGTCTTAGAACAAACTTCTGATTTCCCTCCACTCATATCTACTTTCTTTTGTATTACTCCTGAATTATTATTTTTTTATTGGCACCACCAACCATTTTCTCCATCCAGCTGCCCAAGCCAGCATTTCTGACACCATCCTGAGTACCCTCTTCATCCTTACTAAGCTCCCTACCGGCTTTATCCTCACCATGGCCTCTTGAATATAGCCTTCTTCTTTGTTGCTTTTGTACTGGCCAAAGGTTTCACAATTACTTCTCTCAGATTTCTACATCTGCCTCTTAATTATTCTTTCTGCTTTCAGTGTCAACACTTGTATACACTCCCCGGCTCCTCATCCCCATAGGGTACCAGATGACATTTTTGAAATGCCAATCTTATGGTATCACCTGAACAGCTCTCCATCACCTAACAGATACAAATCAAATTCTAAAAGTATTCCAAGTTAAGCCTAACTCTCCAGCTTTATCCTTTATCATGTATCCACCCAGAGCTCTATTTATAGGAGAGAGGAAAAAGGCTAATATTTAAAAGAAGAATCAGTAACAGTTTAAGCCAGTAACAAAATAAATCCTTTGTACTTAGAAGTATTTAAAATATATATTTGACACATTTGTTGCATTTCCTAGTTTACAAGCAGTATGTATTAATGAGCCACATTTTTCAATACAAAAAAAGCATGAGCAAATGCATTCAGTGTGATAACTGTGGTCCAAACCTACAGTATGTTTACTTGCTATGTTTGAAACTGCTGTAATGGTAGCTACCGTGGGGCATGTCAAGAGTATCTGGTAATAACTAACGAGGCTCTCTCAAACTCTGGAAATGAAGCCTGCTTTTATGTTTTTAAAGAACCAGAACTGTGATAATACCCATTTAACCTTCCTTTGATTTAGATGGAATTTAAACATATTCACAATAACTATAATTGTACTAAACATCAGTTATGCACAACTAGGAGTCATTTCCCTTTACGGGACATACAGGAATCATGCTGCAGATTTCTAACTAAATCTGTTTAGTTCCAACTAGTTCAGCTAAACACTGCCTGGCCCACAGTTGATGAAACGCTTCCCTCCTTACCGTGGATGCTCTTCCCCGCCACCCCAAACCTCAAGAAACACTGCCATAGAAAGCTATGTTCCACCCCTAGCAGTGTGAGAGTGAGGCATTTTCTTTCTGTGTGTTAGAGTAGGAAAAGAGAGAAAGCAAGAGACCAACCACTGCCTTTGGAATAAATGAGATGTTGGACTGAAATGCAAAATTAACTTATGCTTTATTCTAAAGCTGCACTGTTCAATACAGTCATCACTAGCCACGTGTGGCTATAGATCACTTGAAATGTGCCTAGTCCAAACTGAGATGTGCTATAAAATATATAGCAGATTTCTAAGATTTCACATGCAAAAAAAAAAAAAAAGAATGGAAGGTGTCTTATTAATGACTTCTTATATTGATACATGTTCAAATAATGATATTTAAGATATACTGGGTTAAATAATGAGTTATTAAAATTATTTTGCCTGTTTCTTTTTCCTATTTTTTAATAAAAATTGTATTTACTTAGAAGCATTCAGAATGTCAACAAAACAGCTATACCTTTTTTTTTTTTGCGACTAGAGTGGTATTCAGTTAACAGAGCAACTATTTCATATAAACTGCATCAGAGATAACTGAAGACGAAATAACTACCATCCCCATATATAACTCATTTGTGCTGTGCACCAAAAAGAACCTGTTTTAAATTTCCACGCCAATTTACAACCCCCATACTGTACCAGGCACGGTACAGCGCCTATCGAAAATATCACCAGGACAGGGCTATCTAAAGACATATGTGGTAGTGTGTTAACGGTACAAAAAAAGGCACTGTACAGTTTAAAAACAAATCTTACACAGTCTTATATTTCAATTTTCTTCTTTAAAAGGAGTGAGTTGTGTGCAAGGGGGTTAATGCTCTATAGCAGGGGTCCTCAGTCACCCCCAACCCAAGAGTCTATGGCCTGTTAGGAACTGGGCTGCAAAGCAGAAGGTGAGCTGCAGCGGGCAAGTAAGCATTACCACCTGAGCTCCGCCTCCTGTCAGATCAGTGGTAGCATTAGATTCTCACAGGCACGTGAACCCTATTGTGAACTGCGCATGTGAGGGATCTAGTTTGCACACTCCTTATAATAATCTAATGATAAATGTAATGCACTTGAATCATCCCGAAACCACACCCCACCAACATGGAAAAACTGTGTGCCATGAAACTGGTCCCTGGTGCCAAAAAGGCCGGGGACTGCTGCTTTATAGACAAGGAAAAAAAAAACTGCAATAGAACCAATTGCATCATCATTGTCTTCTTCATCTTCCTCCTCCTCTTTATCTTCTTCCTCTTCCTTTCTTTCCTTTTTTTTTTTTTTTTCTTGGCCTTGATGACTCCCTTTTTTGAAAGTATCAGGCTTTCCTTTCAGTTCAAAATGCAGCAATATTCTTTCGGTATTTTTCCGGCAGCTTCGCAGTCGTCCTTTCTTAAGGCTGTTTGTCGTATGCAGCAGTGTCTTACCACATCTCTCCCAGTTTCTTCTCAACATCATCAATGGATAGGCCAGGATGTTCTCCTTTGATTTTAGGGTGAAACTCAGAACAGAACAGAAGAAAGGTCAAAAGAGGTTTCTTGGGTGCGTGTCTCTGAGAAATTCTTAGAAAACTCTGAGAAGTTGATGGAAGCATCTGGGTGCTGCTTCCTGTTCTCCTCCCAACAAGTTTGCATAAAGAATGCATATGATGACTTTTTGCCTCTTGGCTTCTTAGGATTTTGCCTCTAGGCTTCTTAGGATCTCCTTTGCTCATGTTAAGTTATTTTTCCTCAGCAAGGCAAGAGTCACCCAGTGCCCACCTGGCTCTCATTTGCCCTGGTACTGTCTCTATGGAGCTCAAAATACCACAATCACTATCTTTTTTTCCTATTTTCAATGTAGCTATTACAAATTTTTTTATATTATAGATATAGTTCACATTAAATTTCTATTAGACAGTGCTGCTTGAACGTTCTTTTTAGATAAACAAACGACCAATATCTTGTTTATTACTTGCCTTTCTATATAATAAAAGCAGAGTACAGAATCCATACTGACAAGGGGAGATAAGAGTAGGAGGAAGAATCTCATTATTTCTATTTCTTGATTATTTACATTTTGAGCAGATATAAGGAGGAAAAAAATATGTTGCATCACATCTAAATGTAAACCTATTCTGCAGAGGCAACCTATGGCATGGGCATCACAAAAGTGGTATAATGGTACTCCTAAACACTTTGGAACATTCTCATATATCCAATCTGTGCAACAAAGCCAATGGTCCACCTCGTACGACAGTGCTACTCGTCCACCTGAAGTTTCAGTTTTAACTTTTCTCCATTTTGCTGCCAACGATGATTTACACAGAAGGACATTTACGAATTATCTAAGGACTCTTTGGAAGTGATACTTGCAAATGCCCAAGCTTTGCTGATCCAGAGAGCATATCCTTCATTAATGGCAAAGTGACATAAATTATTATTTTAAAAATTCATATTGATAATCGGAATTCTAAATTCAAAATGCCATTCTAAACAGGTGGCACATTATAATCTAACACTAACGTGGCTTATAATAAAGTGCTTATAATACACAGAAAATTATGAATTTTGAATGTCATTTTTAACACCAACCAAAAGAAGAAGAGTGTAACATTCTCTTTAAAACACACACACACACACCGCTCCGGAGCGTCTGGAGGAGGCAGGTGCAGGTACGGGCGGCGCCGGCTCAGGGGCTGCTGGAGGCCCAGGAGGCTCGGACGCGGGGCAGGAAGCTGCCTACCACGCCGGCTCCTGCTCGCGGGCGCCCACAGCGCGGACACGGCGGGCTGGTGGCCGGCGTTGTCGCGCGCGGCCCGGCGCCACCCATGGCCCACCAACGTGCTGCTCTACGGCTCGCTCTTCTCGGCCGGGGACGCACTGCAGCAGCGACTGCAGGGCAGCGAGGCCGACTGGCGCCAGACGCGGCGTGTGGCCACGTTGGTGGTGACCTTCCATGCCAACTTCAACTACGTGTGGCTGGGCCTGCTGGAGCGCGCACTCCCGGGCAGCGCGCCACGTGCGGTGCTGGCCAAGTTGCTCTGCGACCAGGTGGTCGGTGCGCCCATCGCGATTTAGGCCTTCTACACCGGTATGAGCATTCTCCAGGAAAAGGATGACATATTTTTGGACCTGAAACAGAAATTCTGGAATATCTATCTGAGCGGACTGGTGTACTGGCCCTTTGTACCGCTGACCAACTTCAGCCTTGTTCCTGTTCAATGGAGAACAGCTTACACTGGAGTCTGTGGTTTTCTCTGGGCCATCTTTGTCTGTTTTTCCCAGCAGAGTGGTGACGGCACATTGAAGTCAGCTTTCACCATTTTACGTACAAAGTGGACCAGTGCCATAGAAGGGTCCCCGGAGAAATGAGAACTCAAGAACTCTCTTAAAGGGACCACATATTTGACCTAAAATGCACAGAATTGCCTGTAGACAAAATACTTGATGTGCCAATTATGCATTTCATTTTGAGGAATTACTGCTATTTATAAACCCACTTAAAAAATTATGATTATTTTTGAATTGTATTCAGATATTTTTTCCTGTTCTAGTCTGAAATATTACTTCTCTAATTTTTTGGTTGATATAAATAATAGTGGCAAAAACAACAACAACAACAACAACACACACACACACATATACTACATGGGCCAAATTTGTGTTATAAAACAAGCTTGACTAAGCTATAATTAAGAACACTGAGATAACATCAATGTTATTAGTGTTAGTACAAGAAAGAGAATTGCTGGTTTAGAAAAGTTCTTGTCTTACCTTACTACCTTCTTTCACATTTTTATAGAACATTAAGAGAGTGAAGTGGCAGCATATGTGCATTTAGATTAAAGAAATTCATCTACAGGCACTTGGCAGGAAGAGAGGGCTATTTTTAAAAACAACAAACAAAAACCTACTATTCCATTCAATGAAATTTTGCCCCAGAAAGAAGAGAGACAGAATTGCTTCTTTTTCAAGTGGTTTCAGATCCCAAGTCTTTCAAACTGAGTTCTGTTCTTACAGGTAACAGAAGACATTGTAAAGAACAATTTTGTCTGTACTTGATTTGTGTGTTGATGTGAGAATCTAAATTCTCAGCAAGATAGGGCTTGATTGTGTACTGATGGCACAATGTGTTGCATTAAGTCATAATGTCAATTATATTGGTTCCTACCATTTCCCTGTCTGCATCCCCCTATCCCCATGATTATACTTGAGTTTTAGAAAGATCATTTTGGCAAATGTGTAGCAAATAGACTGTAGAAAGAAACCAGAGACAACAGTTATTTGCTGCCTTGAATTACTGAAATGATGGGAAGGGATGGGAATGGATAAAGGTTTCTTGGAAAAGACGCTCTTTACAGCTACTTTATGGGGATTGCCTCAGTTGTTGTTGTTGTTGTTTTTTTGAGACAGAGTCTAGCTCTGTTGCTCAGGCTGAAGTGCAGGGGCACAATCTCAGCTCACTGCAAGCTCCGCCTCCCGGGTTCATGCCATTTTCCTGCCTCAGCATCCTGAGTAGCTGGGACTATAGAAGCCTGCAACCACGCCCGGCTAATTTTTTGTATTTTTAGTAGAGATCGGGTTTCACCATGTTAGCCAGGATGGTCTTGATCACCTGACCTAGTGATCCGCCAGCCTTGGCCTCCCAAAGTGCTGGGATTACAGGAGTGAGCCACCATGCCCGGCCATGGACTGTTTCAGTTCTTAAGGGGAGCCCACCAATTATACAGTACCAGTATTTCTCTAACATGAGTGAGTACATTTATACTTCCCTCAAAATATACTTTTTTAAAAAGAAATGTTCTAAAATTTCAATGCTCTATTTTTTAAAAAGAAATATTTTAAAATGTTAAAGTGATCTTTTTTCTTTTTTTCAAAAGTAGTCTCATACTGGTTACAGAGTTTGTGACCTGAAAAGTTTTTAACACATTTAAACATTAAACATTTGTTCCAGGAACTGCTAGGCTTCTAGATTCAAAAATAAAAGATACCATTTTTGTCTTATCTCACTTAATTACAAATTTGACATAGGAGACTTTTCAATAAACTGTCTAAAGTACATAAAAGAAAGGAGACACTACCATTGAAAATGGGAGCCAAATTAGTTCACAGTTTCCCACCGTATTTATAGGATTTTGCTTGCAGCTCAGATCATTTCCTAACTTTGAACTCAAAGGTCAATGTGTTTCTGAAGTTCTTTTAAACTATATGATTCCCAGAATGGCATGCTATAAGGAGAAGATGATTTCATTTTATCTAGCAAGTGATAAATATGACATCGCTATATTTTAAAACCCTGAAAAACAAATAGTACCATATGGTTTGTTTTCTTCCAACCGCAAAGTAACAATCTGTAGTATTCTAATAAACTGCTGTTAGGTCTAAGAATATTTTTGGCCAAATTTTCCTTTTTTCTTTGTTATAACTGGTTTGCTAATAGATTTCTCTAGCTTTAGTTATAATTAGAAGACAGTTACTGCTTTGCATAATCAAATTGTAATTGCTGTTTGGGTGAAATCCAACCAATTTAAGCATCAGTACCTTCAAAATCATGATGTCTGGCAAAAACAGAATAATAAATGTCAGACTCTAATGATCTAGGTTATCTAATAATGCTTGCTTAACTGTTGAATTATTTTAGAGGCTGGACAACAAGTAATACTTGAATTATCAACATATTTTGAGCATTACCATTTGTAAATGACAATAAGTTAATGGTCTCCAATAAACACAAATGGTGATGATAAGGAACAAAAATTCACTTGAGATCAGAAACCTATCCCAGTCTTAGTTCTGTCATTGGTTAAATATGTGTTTCTGGGTGAGTCACTTAACTTTCTGGATCTGTTTACTGATTTGTAAAATGGAAGTTATGAAATCTAATGATAATGGACATTTGTCAATTTTATTCCATAGATACACCACATTTTGTTTATTCACTCATCTATGGAATAAAATATTTTGGCAAACAAATGAAGTACTGACACATGGATGAACCTTTCAAACATGCTCTCTTTTCTTGTCCTTAAACTCTTGAAGCCTATTTTCCTCAACTCTCCATAGGGGTCAATGAAACTAGTATTTTCATCTCTCTCAGAGAGAGATCAGCCCTTGAGTGATTGTTGTCCCAACAATTAGCATCGACACTTTTAGTATTTGTTACCCCCAACCCAATTACTGTGCTCCCCAGTGATCCTAAAAGCTAGGAATAAATTTGCTTTCTGTTAATGATAAATCTTTAACTCTAAAGAGAAACAGTGCTTGCTCATGTACTCTCACACACTCTTGCCCTCTCTTTCTGTGTAGTTATCTCTCCTGAGGAAAGTTGAATAATTTGAAGAATACTTTGAGTACCCAACTCTATAATGCACTTACTCCAAATCACCCTTAAAAAAGAAAGTAGTGTTTTTTCCTTGAAATCAATCACGCAATATCCCAGGGGTAAGCAGACTCTCCTATAGTAAAGATTTGTTTCTACCAACCCCAGGAAACTCAGAAAGAGGAGTAGTTTGTATTATTTCCTCTCATGACTCAATTAATTAATTAAAGAATTAATTCTAGGATCCTAGGGCCAAACAATCAGTTGCCATTTTTCACAGGAAGCTTAGCGCCCTCTTAAACAATGAAGATTCCAGGTAGTCTGCACTGATAACTCAGGGCTGCCGAACGGCAGGGAGATTGCCCCTGTCTCAAGCCTGCACAGCCTAGGGCACTTTTAATATATGAAGTACAATATTGAGGGGTGGGAGGAAGGCAGCCATGAGAACGCACCTCACAGATCTCCAATAACAGGGAGCTAACCGACCAAGGAAGGGCCCAGTTGCTGGCCGCTGAAACCATCTGCTGCATTTGTGCCAAAGCCACAGCTCCCACATGCTGCTCCCAGCAAATGACACAGTACAGCAGGGTTACCAATGCAGGACTCCTGAGGGCCTTGCCCGGCTACTTAGGACACTTCCCTCCAACTTTCTTGCCCTCTCTCCATCACTGCGCTCAGACAAGCACCTTAACTGACAATGCATGTCCCTCCTGCCCCATTTCTCCCTCAGGTGTCTCTCTTACTAAAACATTTGCATGATTAATCCTGTCTTGGCATTTGCTTCTCTAAACACCAAGCCTAACACATCTGGATTAATAACTTACTTAAATTTAAACATTTTTTAAACTAGCAACTTTAAAATTGGTTCTCAAATATTGGGTAAACAGGGAGTTTCTATTGATACTGACTTCTTCCTTCTCTATTTCAATCATCCCCATCTTGAAAAATATATCAATAAAAAATTGGGCTTTTAAATAGATGTGTCAAATTAATAACATTCTTAAAACTAAAAGATTGTCCTTTAATTACAGATTTATCCCCAGTCCTAATGGGAAGGGAGCAAATTAGGAACTGTTATTTGAAATTAGCTACATATGTGTCTGTCCCTCTCATCCCACCGTAACCTCCAGGAGGGTTGGCACCTGTCTCAATCATTATTTTTACTGAGTACCGGGTTCGTAGCAGGTACTCAAGAAATATCTGTTGAATGGAGGCAGGAGATGATATTAGTGATGTGAAACTACGGTGAGGTATAGAGAGTAAGGTGGGAAGGGGTTCCCAGATCTCTCTAGTTACATGAAATAAGCAATTGAAATACATGTGTTGCTTTTATTATGTAAACCACAGAAAATAAACTTTGAGTTTCATTTTACAAACCAGAGAAAGTAAAGTTCAACAAAAATCTTAGCTTTAATGAGAATAAGCAAAAGATAAAGTGAGAAACGTTACAGCGAACTGATTTTAAATGATTGAAGAACTCTGCACTCTATGGGCCTAAAATGATTATCCTGCTTTTTGGCCAAAATATCATATATATATATTTAAACATTAATTATGTATTTTATAACATATGGATACAGATATTCCTCAGTACCCATGGGGGGCTGGTTCCAGGACTCCCTATGGATACAAAATCAGCAGATGCTCGAGTCTCTTATATAAAATGCTGTAGTATTTAAATATAACCTAGCACATACTCTGGTATACTTTAAAGCAGCTCTGGATTACTTATAATACCTAATACAATGTAAACACTATGTAAATAGTTGTTATACTGTATTGTTTAGGAAATAAAGACAAGAAAATAATGTCTGTACATGTTTGGTATAGACAATTTTTTTTCCAGATATTTTCGATCAGTGGTTTGTTGAATCCACAGGTGCAGAACCCATGGATACACAGGGCTAAATGTATATAGATTTCCTTGTATTGATAAATTTCACTATACTGTAGATTTACTCAAAGTTCACTATTTATGTCTGTCAACAGATATATTTCTTCTTAGTAAACAAAAGGAAAATCCTATATCTTCCTACTGTATCAGGTAAAGAAGTTTCTTTAAAACAAAATATTGATAGATGACAGTGGGAAGTCTGACATTTATTCAACTTGATAACAGTAAATGGAAATAGAGTTTGAGAGTTTGATTATTATAATCCACAATGCTTGATTCCTTCATCATCATTTTTTTTTAAAGCAA